CTGAACATTGTGACTAGGTGGGAAGGACTGGAATCAAGGTATTAAACCCCCACGCATCTGCCTTTAATATGTTCCAACACTCCCACCTGGCTGTGTCCTGCCTAGACAGTTCCTTTTATAAGAGGAAGCAATGGAGGGAGTGCTGATGGGAGAGGAAAGGCAGGAAGAAAGATTGGCTCTAATTTAAAACCATCTTAGGAGCTCTGAAAAGTTCCAGGTTGACGATGGACACACTTACTCCTCAGAACCCATAGGCCTTCTGGATTTCTGCACAGTGATGCCAGTCCCCTTCCTTTGCTTCAGGGAAGACGGCAGCTCATCTCTCGTAATGAGGTCTACATCTGAGACTGGTGGGGATCAAAGATGCGCTTTGTCAACAGCTCTGGCCAAACAAAATCACCCTCTAATAAAATATTCGGTCATGGAAAGAGAATGTTTCTTGGAGCTGTTTGGATCACATCCTATTTAAAACCAGCCTTGTAGTGTTATTTTCTCCATGTTCTCAGTGGAACTGAATGGGCTTGCAGGCAGGTGTGGTGCCCCTCTGGAGGCTGCAGGATGCTCATGAGGGATGGTGCTGGAATGGCACAGCTCTGCATGCAGACAGGTGTTCCCGCCCTCTGGACAGCAGCAGTCAGCTTTGCCCTTCTCTCCTCTCAAATGGCAGGTCACTAGCTACAACATAAAAAACCTGTGCTGACCCCGTGTGCCCAGAGGTATCAGAGATGGAGAAAATAAACAGGTTCTCAGGCGGACCCTTGTCACCCAGGAGAGGGCTCCAGCACCCACTGCACCAGAGCCACCCCCAGAGGAGGTAATTCCAGGGCAACTGGAGACGGCATGCCTGGCAAGGCGCCCACTGGGACTATAGGAAGGCAGCAGCTCCAGGGATTCCGGCTGTAGGGGCAACTCTGGCCAGAGGCAGGGATAGCAGGGAGGGAGACATGCAAATCAGATTTTCACTGGGCAGGTGGCCAGACGCAAAAAAGGGCACTCCTGGGTAATAAAAGCAGACAGCTCTCACTTCCAGAAGACACTGCCAACCTCATTGAAGGCCCTTTCACCCAAAAACCCATCATTGAGAAACTTAGATTTCCCTGTAGCTGATTTCTCCAGGTCCGTACTCGCAGCAGAATGCCTTTCCATTCCTAGTTCCCCGATTGGCACTGTGGGTCTATGTGCATGTGAGAGACAATGATGAGAGAACCACGAGTCCACTGTGGGTTGTTAAACACCAGCACGCAGTACTGCACTGCTAAAACACTGGGGCTGGAGCTGCCATCCTGAGGCCTGCCCTGCAAAATGGGACCTGTCTGTCTTCACCAGGGAACTATGATAAACGAGCCAAGACAGACACTGGTCAGGACAAGCCACTTTATTCAAGAGCTTCGACAGCCTAAAGTGGTTTAACATAGATGCATGAAAGATTTATCCGGATGATAAAATATCTAAACTTGAAAGGCACATAAGTTATAATTTTGCGGGTTTTTTTTTCCTTTTAAGATTTCACAGAGTCAAGCGCTTTAGGTAATGAATGAAATGCACATAAAGTTGACTTCATTTCACACAACCTGTCTGGTTAGTGTCTGCCGAGAGCCTTTCCTTCCCGATGGGATGGAGTTCAGAATCAAGACCACCCATCGGTTTCTGTGGCCTCCCATCCCCGTGGAGAGCACTGGGAGGATTAATAAATATAACAGCGGCTATTATTGACTGAGCACCTACTATACCATGTGCTGTGCATTCAGACTAGCACTTCATATACTTATAATATGAGCATTACTCAATACTCATAAAAGCCCTATGAGATAGGTACAGTGATTCTCATTGTACAGATGTCCAAAGTGAGCTTCAGAGAGCTTCTGTGACACACATGAGGTCACACGGGTAATTTTATCTGACTCCAAAGCTGTGGTGTTCACTACTAAGCTGCAACATAAATGAAAATGCTTGGTCCTTAGCAAGGGCTCAAAAACACTGGTTATCTTTATCTTTTAATAGCACACTTTCTCTTAATAGCACACTTAGATGGTTGCCTTGCAGGTTTTTGTCCATTCATTCATTCATTCATTCATTATGGGCTCAGTATCCTGCTGGATTTAGTACTGACTCTAAGCTCCTAGCAATTAACACATGAAGGCGAGGGTTAGCATCGGGGTGGGCGTCAGGGGCAGCCCCTCCCAGGAGACCCACACCCAGCTATGGATTAGAGACACAACCAGAATAAGACAATTTTAGATCTTTTTCAACTCTAGTTTCCCCCCATGACTTCTGCTGTTTTCTTTGGCCTGAGCTTTGAGGCCTGCTGACAGTGTGACTGCCTAGGAGGCCCTTTATCATGCAGAACACCCCTTTTCTCCACCCAGGACTGATGCTTTCTGGTAAAACCACTGCA